TGTTACGATTTTAACTGCACTATCACGGAAGCCTCCCTGAAAAGGTAACATCTGGATGACAACGTGAAGGAGGTGAGGGAGCAGGCCTTGGGGATATAACCAGACCAAGGGAAGAGCAAGTGCAAAGGCCCCAAGGCAGGATTGAGCCCCAAATGCTGAAGAATGGTCCAGAGGAGGCAGATGTGACAACAGCTGGGTGCTAGCAGATGTGGTCAGCAGGTGTGGTCGATTAAAAATGCTCCCACCCCACCCCAAAGATATCAGAGCCTGATCCCTGGAACCTATACATGTTACCTCTTTTGATAAAACAAGCTGTTGCAGACATAACATTGTTGCTCTTGAGAGGAGGAGCCCTAAATGCTGTCACAAGTGTCCTTCCTAGAGAGAGGGGCAGACTCACCCAGGAGAAGTCACGGTGGTCACAGGACAGAAATTGAAGGGATGCGGCCACAAGCTAAGGGATGCCAGCAGCCAGGAGAGGCCAAGAAGACGTTCTCCCCTAGACCCTCTGGGCTGAGTGAGGTCCCTCTGACTGGCACATTGGTCTCAGCCCGGGAGTAAACTTGGCCTTCAGGGTTCCAGAACTGTAAGCCCGAGGCAGTTAGCTCCAGCAGCCTCGGGAACCCCCTACAGCAGGCACACTGGCACAGGGCCCGTTTGCATGCGCACGCTGGCACCGAGGGTGGCTAAGGCAGGCATGGAAGCCACTGTGGGCTTCTCATCTCTCCAGCTGCACTGGGGCTGTCGTGAGAGCCAGTCCAGAGCCTCCTCTGGGTCTCCCCATAAAGGGCGGAACCCAGGATCCCCGGAAGCCCAGGGAAATCACAGGCCAGAAAAGAGGGCTTCCAAAGAAAGCCACCCTGTGGGCCCCAGCAGCGTTCTACGTGAACATTCAGAATGGCCCTTTGGGGGCAGGTTGGGCTCGAGACCAGCAGAGCACATCACCAGATTGGTAAGGGGCCCTGGGACTGGGCGGCAGAGCACTCGTTTTCACCTCCTAGCTTGGGGGTGGGGGTGGGGGGCCGCTGGGGGGGGGAAGTCAGGCTGCTGATGAGCCCTGAGTGGCGTCCACCAACGGTACAGAGGGTGCTGGAGGGAGGCAGAACTGGATGTGGATGAGACCCAAGGAGCCTGGCCTGAGACCCTACGCTCCCAGAGCAGCCCTGGGAAGGCCAGTCTGTGGGGGGCATGTCATGAGGTGGCGGGGGTCAGGTGGTGCAGAGAACCCTCCAGACTGGAACCTTCTTTCATTGCCCCCCCCACTCCCCGTTTGTACCTGGGCAGTGCCCCCAGGGCCTGGGACAGCTGAGGAGGGCTGGGCAGAGCTGGGTGAGGCCCTGGGACAAGAAGTGACTGTCCCTGGGCAGGAGCAGCCAGGGGCAGCGCGCACACGTGCCTGGCGTGCTAGATGGCCAGGAAGTACTCGTGGAACTCGAGTCCAGCAGGGAAGCAGCCCCAGGGGCTCTGGACAAACAGAAAGGTGGAAAAAGGCTCTGAGGGTGGTCTGCTGGCCAGCGCCGCCAATGCTGGCTTTGGGGAGCCAAGGCCACCATCTCGGTGGGGCCCGACAGTGACCAGCATGGCCTCATTCTCAGCCAGTGCCACTGCCAAACCAGATGCCGAACAGCTGGCCTTGGGGTTCAGTGTGGAAAGCAGGAGCTGTACCCAAGTCCCCACACTGCTCAAGAAGGCCCTGTCGGCCGCCCCAGGGTCAGACACCACTCTCCGCTGAGGCAGTGTCTTGAGGAAGGGAGCAGGGCAGCACACAGCTAGGGGAATGATGGAGAAAGGGCAGTCTTCCCAAGCAAAGCCGGGCCACCTCCACCCACTGCACGAGTGATTCCCCTCCCAAATAGGTAAGTCTGGCTTAATGGACAAGTCTGTTGGTGCGGCTTCCCCAGCTCACCTGGCGACAGCAGGGGAAACGGGCGGGCTGGGTACCCAGAGCCCCGCCTAGCTGCAGGAGGCCAAGACCAGCCGGAACGCTTTGCTCAAACAGCCGCTCCAGCTGTGGTGAGGCCACTTCCTCTCTCCAGAAGACAACAAGATGACACAAATGCTTTGCACAGCAAGAAGGGAGGGGCCGCCACCACCCGCCCTGGCCTCGGCCAGCCCAAAGCACCCGGTGGCCAGCTCCACTTTACCGCCTGCCCTGGGGGTGGGGGGTCAGTGGACCCGGGAGGGGTCAGCACCTGCAGATCCCCCTCCTCCAGATGGTGGTGCCTCTGGACTCCACAGTGCATCCACCTCCTGCAGCTCCCAACCACTCAGCCCTCCGG